ATGAAATGCTGTTTGAATTGCCTTACTTGGGGCAGGTGGGGGAGTTACCAAGTTTCGAGTCAAAAGATAAACAATTGAGTGTTTTGGTAAAAAAAAAAACACGTGTAAAGAATGAAACTGCTGAAGTTTTTCATGGAAGCACAAAATGGAGGCGTTGGGAGGGGCCACAAAGGCCATCGAGTTCAGACCCCTGCTGTTGCAGGGCACCATGATACACCTTTTTCATTTGGGTAAAGAAAAGAAGGAAAAAGCAAAAGAAAAAAGAAAGGAAGAGGGTTGGTGTACCTCATTTGCTGAAGAGCACTCCATTATTTAAGGGACAGCAACTGCAGCTTTTTCTGGATTTGGACTAGGCAGCTGAATTCAGGGAAATGTGTGCTGGAAACTATGGACTTGACTGTGGGATCCACATAGCCAAGAAAGGGGAGTGCTCTGGCAGAAGGTACCACCATTTTGTGAGTGCTGCAGAGGGAGCGCACACACAAGAGCCTCTGAGCATGTGCAGAGTTCAAAGCACTTTGGGAAGTTGGGGCAGTGCTGCTTCCAGCCACAAGTTGGGGGCAGGCTTGCACTGGTTTTCTGGATGGTATCTGGAGTGTCCAGAAAACTCTAAAAGAAAATGTTGGCGTGTTTGAATCTTGAGGGGAAGGGGGACAATAAGGTATTGCAACTGAGGTGCGACATTCTTTGAGTGTTCAAAGCCTGTATTGCCTCAGGAAAAATTCTGCATGAGAAGAGATTGGGTTGAAGCAACGGATCTTTGAGCACTCTCAATGGGGAGGCTGAGGGGAATTTTTTTTAAGGGAAGGAAACCTAGAAAGCTGTATTGTGTGAATGCATTAATTGTTTGTGTTGACTACCAGGAGTTTTTGTGTGGGAGGCTGAGGGGAATATATTCTGAACTCTAGGTTATACCATCTTGTGGCTGTACCACAACACAAAGAGTGGAGGAAGAGGGGTAATGGGTGGAACTGGGGCTGTTTGGTTGGGTGTGTGCGTGTGCACATGGGTGCACAGTGGAAGGGGTTCTTTTCAAAAACCCCAAGGAGACTACTTGTTGTGGTCTCAATGTTGTGGGTTATTCCCTTTTTGCAATGTTGCCAAGTATTTTGATCAGGCTCCAAATTTTACAAGGAAAGATAGCTATGGAGGGTGTTTTGTACAAGAAAGGAATATTGATGGTGCTAAGGAGAGTTTTCCTTACAGTAACCTAATGTTAGGGGGGTGGCAGGCTTGAAAAGGGACAAAGATTTTTCAACTTCATCTCCAAGCTAATGTGGTTAACCAGGGTCTGTGAAGAAATGTAAAGGTTTTTTTTCTAATCCACCTGTTTTGTGAGCTGTACTTTCCCGACACCAGATGAACTGGAACTGCAAAGGAACTGCAAATTCCTGTGTTCTGCCTTGCTTTTCGTATAATCCATGAGGAAGCAAAGTCCTACAGCCAAGTGTACAGCTGAGTCCAGAAGCTGAATGAAGCCTAGACAACGAAATCTCGAAGAATCGCCTTAAAGGGCAAAGCAGACGACTGAACTGGACATTAGGCCATTGCCTCATCTCACACTGCTCCCACCTTGCAAAGCAGGCTAACCCAAGTCTGTTGACCAAAAGGAATGGTGGCCTTAGACAGGGTATTCATCCTCGTGGGGGTCTCAGCCCCAATGAGGGTGATATCTTTAGGTCAATGGGTCAAAAGGGGGGCCTAGGGAGCAAAGGAACCGGGCTCAAAATAGATTGGGTAGCAGCTCTGCAAGGGGAGCAGGTTAAGGGTGAGAGCTGGCTGGCACGGAGTTCCTTGCAGCCAAAGGAGTGGGTGAAGAGATCAAGGGGTTTGACTAAGACAATCCCCATCTGAGCTGCAGGGATAGAAGCTGCTTCCTGAGAAAAAGGGAGCACCAGTAGTTATCTGAACTGGCTGATTTGTTTGGTTGCTCACAAAAGGGGGAACTGTTGGAGAAATACGAAAATCCTGGCTGAGGGGGGTTGCTTATATGCACCTTCATGATAAGGTCAGATCTCTGTTGGTATTGGCTGTTAGTTCAAGAGGATGGGAATTGGAAAAGGATAATGGGATTATTGTAATTGGACTGCTAGGATTATTTCTGTTACCATCTTTACTATCATTGGTAAAGACTTTTATTAATAATGCTGTTCGAAGTGCTATACAGGCAACTGCCAAGAAAGAAGAGAGGGGTTTGCTGTTGGAGGTGAAAAGTCAAGATCCTATGAGTGATGATGAGGAGATCCTGGCTGCCTTTGAACGAGTGGTTTTAAAAGATAATTCTGTTCTAGAAAAAAAAAGTGGGGGGATTGTGGGAAGTGTAAAGTCTGTATCTTTTAAAATATGAGTGAAGGATTGTTCTTTCTTAAGAAGCGTAGAATCTGTATCTTTTAGAATGAATAAAGGCCTGTTCTCATTATCTCATCCTCCCCACTAGATTTAAGAAACATTCTGGCGTCAAGTAAGAATTTTCAAGGCCACTTCGGCCTGTTGACCTCTTAGAAGGTACTGCGCAAGCGTAATAAGCTTATGAATAGTAAATGACACACCTCTCATAGGTAGCAGACTCATTAGCATGAACATGGGATGTATGAGCGGGGGGGGGGACATATTAAGGAGTAGTATGATGTAGGCGGATGGAGAAGATTGTGACTTCTTAGTAACCAGCCAATGGCAAAGCGGGGATAGTGTTGAGCATCGGGGAAAGAAATGTATAAAATCTCTTGTAAACAGTAAAAGATTGCTCTTTGTTTCTCAGGCTACTGAGGCATTGAGCCAGCCTTTGCAAACGCTTTTTGTATGGAATAAACTGCTTGTACCCACTCGAATCCTGTCTCAAGGAGTTTTAAATCTCACAGCACCCCAGAGTGCAATATATTTGGAGGAGGGGTGTAACTTTCCAAGGAGCTCGTAGCATCCAAGTGCACACTTAAGTCACAGTAGCAGAGATTTGTAGTTATGTAAGTCACTGCAGTTGCACAGAGTCACCACCATCTACTGTGTCACCACCTTCCATGGTGGCCTTTTTAAAGGAATAAAGTTGAGATACCTTTTTTTGAGTCCTATTGCCAGTGTGGGATTAGTGCTCCAGTCCAGCAACCCATATGCACACTGCACTGAGTTTTGCAGGTATAACTATTATAGCAACTGTGTAAGTGTGTATTTCTCTACCAAATAAATGGTTGCCAGAGGCTCCAGGGCTTCATATATAGAGTAAGTTGGGTATGGGGAAGTTCATAGTTTTCAAAAAGAAGAGGCACTGGTTATTTTTCACTTGCATGGATTACTTAAATGTATACATATTTTCAGTTGCTTAATTAACAAACATAAAACATACCTGTATCTTCCTAAAACCTTATAGAACCCATAGACTGGGCAAGTTAGAATTGTATTTTGACAATGCATAAGAGTCATTATTCAAAATGCACTCATACTTGTAACAGTCCTGATGGCTTAAGATGGACTCACATAAATAGTACCTACTGCACTGTAGCCAAAAAGGATATAGAAAAGAAAAAATGTTAGCAGTGGAATGGCTAGAACACTGAAGCCTGTATTTGTCTTTTGAAAGCCTGTTTATGTGTCTGTGTTATGTAAAATGGCTACTTTCATAAAACAGTTCATCAGAGCTAAGCAATGAACAATGCCCAAACTCTTAATGATTATAATGTGTACATTTACCTTTTTCCAAAGCAAAGAAGGGAGAAACAAACATGTATGGTAAGACTAAACAGTAATACAGCATCGAATTCATTTTTTGTACACTGTCCCGAGACATTTGTAGTGGACAGGTTAGAAAAGCTTTTAATGAATGAATGAATGAATGAATGAATGAATAAATTCCTGTTAAGGATGAGGCTTCTATACAAGAATGACGGAGGGGGGGGAATATAGCCATATTCTTCTGGGATATAGCCATATTCTTAAGCAGAAATATGCTATATTTCACAGAGAACTCAGTGCCAAAGCACCCACTTTGCATGTAGTCGGTCCCAGTTTCTGTCCCCAGCATCTCCATGTCTGAAACACTGCCAGTCAATGTACTTAGCTAGATGGACCAATAGTTTGTGAAGGTATGAAGTTTCCTAGGTGAGCAAGTGATTTTTAGGGAAGGCATTTATTCATCTCATTGAAAATAGGGGACAAGGACTAAGAGGCTAAGCCACAGGTTTCATGGAGAAGGTAAATTTATGTATTATTCCACAGTACGATCCCACCTTTTTCCTCCTGCAGAGAACCAGGGCAGTTTGCATAATCCTGCTGCTCTCCATTTTATCCTCACAACAACCTTATTAATTCCGTTGAGCTGAGTGTTAGTGACATGCCCAAAAGTCACCCACTGAGCTTCATGGCTAGGGAGGGACTAGAACTTAGATCTCCGGACCTCAAGAACCACCCCACACTGATTGGGATTCATTTCACTTTTTAAAATGAAGGGTTAAAAATGAAGCGGCACAAGAAAGTACTTTGCAAGAAAGCTCCATTCATGATGAAAGGCAGCCAGGGGGAAGGCCAAGGCCTTCCACTGTCCAAACAGTAGTAGGCCCTGCCACAGTCAAACTATGACATCCAAAGGCTAGCTGGAACTCTTGTTCCTAATAACATCGCCTTTTGCAGATGGTTGCGGCACTCTGGCAGGCTTCTCTGCAAGACAACAGTGGCTTAGGTTGCCTGTTTCAACTGGACCAGACCAGCTGGAAGAGGCCAGATTGTTTCAGCATGTGTAGGCGTAAAGATCCGGCCTTTTCAAAGCTGGGATCGCCGACCATGTTAGTCTGCTGCAAGCGACAATCAGGGAGGGAGTGAGGGCCGAGTCTAGTAATCCTGCGCTGGAAAGAAACACAAACCCCTCTTGGTCTCGCCCCTTCCCGCCCCCGGCAGGATGGTGGCCAGGGTCACGGACGATCCTCTTCCTGGGGTTGGCAGAGAGAGGGCGGAGTAGAGACCGTGCGCCTGCTTTCGAGTCACATGCTCACCTGGAGGAGGAGGAGCCCGAAGTGTCTCCCAGGGCCGGGGGATCCTCCCCGGCTCAGATCCCCAGCTCCTGGCGGGGTGGCAGCCGCAGTAGCAGCTAGCATCAGTCCCTCTAGCCCGCCTGGGCTGGATCGAACCCGCGCAGGGCAGACCCGACCCGACCCGATCCGGTGTGGCGCTTTCCGTTCCGCAAGACTGCAAACCCTTTTTGGAGCGAGGAAGAGGAAGGGAAGGAAGCCGCGCCTCACAAAGTTTGCGTGCTCGTCCGGAGGGCGGATTGCGGATCCGGCCCCATGCGGAGCGAGCGATTCCTGAGCCGGGCTCAGGCGCTTAGACCCTTCGGAATCGCAGCCTGGAGCTGCCGCCATGGGCAGCTGCGTGGGGAGACAACGCAGAGAGCGGCCGACCACCCCGGGGCACCCGCGCAAGCGAGCAGGTGAGCGTCACGGATTTGACACCCTGTCCGCTCTGCACCCAGCAAGAGCAGCAAGGGAATCCGGATTGTGAGGCAGGTTCTTCACGTGCTCCCAGCTCTTACTGGAAAACTACACCTCCCCCTCCCCGCACCCACCCTAACTGGATACCCACCGAGACCAGTACGCAGTCCTGGGAACGAGCACTGCTGTATTATTTTTGTATTATTTTTCTGCCTTGATTGAACAGGCATTGAATGTTTAAGGAACATCAGATGGGGGCTGGAGGGGGTTCATTGAAATGAATGAGACCTAAGTTAGATTAACACTGGATGCTGCCCTGTGTGGCCCAGGTCACTATAGGAGAGCAGACAGTTGCCTGTGTACCCTTTCTTGGAGGTGGAAAGGTTCTGTCCTGGGAATTTTAAGAGATCTGGACAGACTGGGGTGGTCACCATTTCTCCAGAGGGCAGGGGGGTGTTTGTGAATACTATGTCATTGGTATAATCTTTCCAGAGCAATCCTGTTTTCTCCAGGTCCCTTGAACTCCAGTAAGACTGTGTGTGGGATGTCCCAGAAACTCGCCTCCCCTTTTTATGTAAGAGCTTGTCCAGCCCGTCTCACTAGATGAGTTGGAAGGAGTGCAGACTGCTGTTTCTTCTCTGCCCACTGACACAGATATAGGTGGGTTAGGGCTGCTTTGATGCCAGTGGGCTTCCAGCACAGTTCATGAGTTGGGCAAAGCAAAGTGATTGGGGGTTACCCCTGCCAGGAGCATAGCTTTTGCCTCAGAAACTGGCCCTGTTCCTGCACATTCATGACATCCTTGCAACATAAGCATGGCTTTCTCAAAAGCTAGGCTCAGAAGCACTTGTCCATTTGCAAGTTCAAGGACCTTGCAAATCTTTTGCAGGACAGAAAGGATGGAGCCAAGCAGGCTTTGTTGCCTGGGTGTGTGCATGTGACCTTATGAGGTTTGGGTCCATGTGCACAAAGACCTGGCCTGACTTTTTCTTGTCCAAGTCAAGCAAGAGTATGATTGGTTCCCACTCCAGACAACTCAGCTCAGTTGCACTCTGCTGGAGCTGCATTAGTTGGATCAATAGCAGAAACATCTTTAACCCAAGAAGCTCGTCAACACTGTTTGAGATCAGCAGTGGTGCACAGATATCAGTGCAGGATGTTTGAAGACAGAACAGTCCTGACTTTTTAGCAAAAGAAAGGCCTCTGTAGGAAGGAAAGGAACTAAGGTATAGTTCCTTTGGCTGCTCAGTGCTTTTCTTAAATCTGCAGATAATCTTGATGGTGCAAGAATGCCATCTAGCCATGTGCTTGCATTGCCAGGCTAATAGCTGACATCTCTTCATGTGCTTACCAGAAATGAGTAGCTAAGGGACAGACTGACCAGAGAGGCTGCTTCCTCTTTATTTCGGGCAGCTTTGTTGGGAGCAGTGTTTTTCAGGGGGTCTGTTCTGCTTTTCCAGTCAGTACTACACTTGTTCTTCTGCTTTTACAATTAAATTTATCTTCAGGTGCTTTGGTCCCACCCTCCAAGAAGCAGTGAGACCTCAGACTTGACTTTGCTGACACTTGATACCAAAACCTCTTTGCAGTACACACAGTTTGGCTGTTCTGTTTTATGCCATCTTGCATTTTCTGCCCTTGATAAAAGAGAAGGCTCTTGCCCATGCTGTGCTGAGGAGAGCATGAAGCTATGCATGACCTTGTTAGGTCTCTTAAAGAGCTTTACACATTTGTAGTGGTTATTTGGGTAATGGAATTCCTTGACAGGAGCCAAAAATGTTATGGCACCATATTGTCTGTTTTACTGTTGCCTGCATGCTAATACTCAACAGCCTACTTTATATCATGCTTGATGTACTCACATTATGCATCTGGTAAAGCAGGCTGCTGTTATGAAAGCTCAAACTATAATAAATCCATCTCCATTGTACTATTTTAAAAGAAAATCTTTGTGCCAGAGAGCAAGGTGTTTCCAGCTACTCGTCTGGAATTTATTTTTTGGAAGGCTTGAGCATATACTTCAAAATGAAAAGTAAACACTTGACAAGCGGTGCTTGGTGAATTCTTGCGGATAGAAATATCTAACTACCCTCATGGAGACCACTGAGATAGCTAAGGCTTATGGCTGGATTGTGAGAAATGTGGAAGGACCTAGCTCAGATACAGCACAGTCCCCGGAGAGCCACTTCCAGTTTGTGCAGACCATTTCCCCCAGTCTAGTGCCTTCTGAATGCTTTGGACTTCAATCCATATCAGTCCAAGCCAGCATGACCAATGGCCAGGAATGCCAGGTGTTGCATTCCAAACATCTCAAGGGTTCCAGGTTGCCTGCCCTAAGTGTAGACAATACTGAGCTACACAGACTGATGGCCTGACTCTGCATAAGGTAGCTAACTTTGCACTTTAATATTAGAAGGATATCTGGATTTTGTTGTTTCACTATCAAATACAGCAGGGCAATGGCACCAGAGATAAAGACCCTCTGGGAAATGATACATTGTTCTAAAAGAAGAAGCATCCCCCCTTTATTTGACCTAACGTTTTCGGCCCTTTTATTTGATAGTTTCTGTAGGCATGTTAGGTTTCAGCTTAACTTTAGCTTGCAATCCTAAATACAATTGCCCTATTGAACACAATGGAATGAAAATTACTTTGAAATAAGAATGCATAAAATTGTATCTTAGGGGATACGCCATCTCTGCTTTGAGGCTTTGTGATGGTGGCTACCTTAAGCGCTTATGAAAAGTTGGGCTGGCAGTCCTGGTGATGTATTGCCAGCATTTTGCAAACGCAAGCAGTGTGAGCTCAGCTGAATCTTCAAAAAGCATCACAAGCACGTCTGTGGTATTGCCCAGTCAAGTACAATTCTTTCTTCTGCTGCATTCTGCTGTAAGCAAGTGGACTGGGGGTGCGGAGTGTACTGAAGGCCTAAGGTCTGGTAAAGAAACCTGTACAGGGGCAATTCTGACTGGAAGGGAAAATTAGACATCGTCTTGAGTTCAGCTTTCTCTATCCTGGTACCTGCAAATACGTTGGACTACAATTCCCATCATCACCAGCCAAGAAGGAAGTGTTGCAGTCCATCACATCTGGAGGACTGGCTGGTTTAAAGGTTGAAGATCCAATGGAATCCTGGGAAGAGTCAAATCTTGAGCATTAATGCCTTTACTGAGCGCTAGCACATTTTCCTGTCTCTAATTATGCTACACTGTCAATTTAAAAATTACCACCTTAGCTTCCGGTTCTAAATTATGGGTCTGTGGCTGTTCGTCATAACTGTGCTCCACCTTGTGTGGAGTGCTACTCGTGTCTCCTTGTTTCCTGCTCTCTTGGGCCATTTTGGACAATATGTTGTTGCATTTTTAGGATTCATTCCCATATCTACATCCATGGGTAGACATAAGATGTTAATTACTAGCACATGGGTCTGATTTACTGACAGGCCTGTGGAATTCCGTGACAGCGTTGGAATTCTGGATTTCACATGTCTATTGATGAGTCAGACCCATATGTTATCAATTTACACATCACATCACATTCATTTGCCCATGAGTGCAACTGGTATGATTCCTGTGTAGGCTGCAAGGGTAGTGTGTGAACTCACCCTTGAAGAGTTTCCTTAGTTGGCTTGGTTGCCATCAGGCTATTTATTTATTTATTTATTTATTTATTTATTTATTTAATTAATAAATAAATAAATAAATAAATAAATAAATAAATATTTATTTCCCTCTAAGTAGTGTGATTCTAGAGTACACCCTATCATAACTAGAAACTGGCCCTTCCAGGGGACTGCAAGACTGACTCATGCCTTTGCTTTGCTTAGACAGTCACTGATTGCAGTTGCTGGTGTGTTGCTCCCAGCAATAATTACTGTTTTGTAGAGGCTGAAAAAGAGAAACAGGAAGTAGGAAGGGATGGGTAAGTGAGTTGACAGCAGCACTTACAGGCTACACCTTCCCAGAAAGGAGATCGACTGCATCCAAGACAAGTAGGTAGGATTCCATATTGTATCTGAGAAGACTTGGTTAGAATGCTTCATTCTCCTATCACAAGAAGATCATACTGGAAGTGACTTGCAGGGACAAAAACATAATCATAGGTTTGGTAATTAACCAAGGTGGCCCTGATTCTATTTTTAATTAATTTTATTTTTTATTTATTACTGATTAGAGGAATCTATATTCTGCTTTTTTCCTCTCCAGAAAAGGAGTCACTCAGAGTGGCTTACAAAATATCGAAATTGTAAAAATGAGAATTGGTCATTAAAACACACTTACAGTGAAATTAACGCAGCATCAGAGTAACAGAACTTCAAAACTAACAATCAATCAATAAAAATAAAAATGTAGCCAAACACATGCGTTAGGAGAAATATCCTCCATTGCTACTGAACACAGACAAAGAGGATGAACTAACTTCTTGGGGAAGTATCCCCAACACTTCATTTGTCAGGGCTTCCTGTCCAGGAACAGTAGATTCAGCAATATATGCTCTGCTTTTGCAACCAAATAGGCATGTTGACTGGCAACAGTTGGAATAAGTGCTCGTGTGTGTCTATAGTTTGTGGCACTGTTGCTCAAAGTATATGAAATTACCATTTTCTGAATTTACTAGTTATTTTATATACATGCCTCCACACACACATATCACGCACGTGTGTACAGAGGGCTGCGGTTTGCACTTAATGGAAAACCATGCATTAGCTAACTCAATTTGCTAGGCACAAATGGGAGTGAACTCGTGATTGTACTGCTCCAGAGAAATCCTCACTTCTGCTCTCTGCAAGCAACGTACAGTCAGCCTACAAATCTATAGGTTGTAAGTGTCACATAAAAACCTTGAACATGAGAATGCCTGGGGCTACCTCTTCCATGATTATGTGGAACCCAAACTCTAGGGTTTAACGCTTTTAAACCAAAGAATGCCAAGAAGACTTGCAACAAGGCAGTTACAATATTTAGCTAAACAACAAAGTTGAATGGGGTGGGTATGGTGG